GGTGCCTCCTCCAGTGCATTGCTTGCTTCTGGGGAAGGCATTTCTTTCACACAACCCTATCATCCTTCCTAGCCATGTTGCACATTGGTTCTGCTGCTCTTCTCGAATGCTTTAATCCGCTGGTCAGAGCAGCTGTATGACACCAAGCCTTGATTGTCTCCAATAAAGCTACAAAAAGCTGAGCTTGTTCTTCCGAAATGCACCATCCCAGGTTTCTGGAGGTGGAGGGAACAGAAGGCAGTGCAAACCCAAAGGGTGCACAAGCAGCTCATCCCCACAGCAGAGGGATTTCAGAGCGCTGTCCACTGCATGCTTGCCTTGCAAGTGATCCCTTTTGAGCTTGAAGGTTTTTGCGTTGGTCTTGGGAAGTTGTCTGAGATCTCCTGCAGAAGTGCCTTCCCATTTGCTGCACTCAGCTGGACTGCTGTGCTTGGAATGCAGTTGGCAGGATGTGAATGTTGATTTTGGTGAGCTATTGAAGCCAGCAGGAGCTTGCCCATGTCCTCAGGTGAGGTTCTCCCCTCCCCTCCCCTCCCCTCCCCTCCGCTCCCCTCCCCTTCCCTCCCTTCCCCACTTTCTTAGCTCCCCTCCCCTCCCCTCCTGGGAGGTTAGGTTAGGGTTAGGGTAGGGTTAGGGTTCGGGTTCGGGTTAGGTTAGGGTTAGGGTTAGGCTTCGGGTAGGGTTAGGTTAGGGTTAGAGTTAGCATCAGGGTTAGGGTAAGGGTTAGGGTTTGTTTCCTCGTAGGAGTGTAGGGTTAGGGTTAGAGGAGGGTAAGAGTTTAGGGTTAGGGTTAGGGTTAGGGTAATGGTTAGGGTAAGGGTTAGGGTTGGGAGGGAGGCGAGGGCAGTGGAAGGGGAGGGGAGGGTAAGAGGTTAGGGTTAGGGTCAGGGTTAGGGTTAGGGTTACGGTCAGGGTAGGGTTAGGGTTAGGGTTAGGGATAGGGATAGGGATAGGGATAGGGATAGGGATAGGGTTACGTTTAGGGTTTGGGTTAGGGTTATAGTTAGGGTTAGGGTTCAGGTTAGGAAGTGTAGCGTTAGGGTTGGAGTAGGGTTAGGGTAGGGTTAGGGTAGTGTAGGGTTAGGGTTAGGATTAGGGTCAGGGTTTGGGTCA